ACACAAGTGTTGTATGCAAGGAATTTGCCATTTAATTTCAGTGATCATGGTTATTGTTACATACTGATCAATTAACTGTAGTCTTTATTATTTTGGGCAAATGCTACATACAGATACAACCTGGCATTCTAATGTGACAGCATGACAACTCACAGTTTACATATCTTGGCATGGGACATTTTTAGAGTCCTAACTGACCTCTGCTAAACTTCAGTTTAAATGAATACCAGTGAGTATTCAAAGTGTGACTATATTACTGGCCCAGCAAGACATAAAGGTTTTATTGTTTCTGCACTGATAGGACAGTAGCAGCAGCAGCAGCAGGACCCCTCATAAGAGGAGGCTATACAATGCCCTCACCTCACTCTTAACTGGTCTTATGAGGGAACAGGAAGAGACATACTTACATTAGGCCGGTTTCCAAAAGCAGCATAAAACGGTTGTTGATTGGAACCAAACAAATTTTTTATATCATTTAGGCACGCGACCTTGAACTTCTCAGGCTTCTTCTCAATGACCTCCCTGAAATGACAACCAATATTGTAAAATTTAATGTTATTTGCTTCGGGCTGCTCAGCACATAACACTATTTACGTTTTTCTACTTCATTTACGGGTTACAGAATGTCACTTCATCAAAGTCGATGCACTGCATCAGAGTTGCATTGTGGTGATTTAAGGAGAACTCTGGTGTGTTGCAGATAACTACAGCATGTGTGCATTTTTCCACAACATACTGCGACCAACCCCAAGTCAGAATTGCAGTGTGAACAGGGTACATAGGAAACAACTTTTTTCTGTGTGCCCTGGCACTGACCAGCACTGTTCTTGTGCAAATACAAACACCAGTCACCGCACACAGCGTGAATGGACCCTAATTTTAGGCCCCTTTTACATGGGCAGCGCACGTTCATATCCGCAGGGGATCTGTGTGATGGAGAAAAACAACTGAACTGTACGGACCCATTATAGCACTATGTGGAGTTGGATTTAAGCAAACATGCCAGTATACAGGCATTCATTAATGAAATAGTTAAGCTTTTGTAAAAGCTTCTTTCTTTCATTAATGAAAGAATGAAGCCATTACATACAAATACGGGAGCGCTAAATAGCCATCGGTATTTGACAGCTGAAAATAGCAGAGAGGTAGCAGAGTGAGTCAGCTGGATAGCCTAACCGATGTTTATGATACATTTCAGGCAAAGAGATACATTTCAGGCAAAGAGATGCATTGTATCACTTCTGATTGTCTAGGCACCCTCAATGACCTTTAGTGAGATCTGATTCTGACATGCTGTCAGGATCAGTCTCTAAAGTTATTATTAGCTGTTCCTAAGTTTGGAGCAGCCTAATAATAACCAAAAATTAAAAAAAGTGAATTTATCAAGCAGTCATAGTGACTGCTTGATATAAACTGACTGAAAACAAAGTGTAAAAAAAAAAGTGTAAAACAAAAATTAAGAAAATAAAAAAATTATATAAAAATATATTTTTTATACTATAATTATAAAAAAATTCTAAAAAATAATAATAAAAACTTGTGAAAAAAGTGTTTTCTTTTAGTTTTTTATGGCCTGGATGGGAAGGGGGTTTAACACCGCGGATGTCAACTGGTTAAAGCTCATGACAAAGCAAAAAAAACTACACTTGCAGTGGGGCCATCCAGGCACTGTAAGGGCTATGTGCTTGTTTTTTGTCTAGGGAACTGGGAGTAAAGCACTTTTACTTACCTAATCGCCGCTTCCGCCAGCTTCCTCCGAGCTGCTAGATTGGTCCCCCGCAGCCTTTTGTCCCCTTCGGCAAGGGCCGCTGATGTCATCATGTCTAATGCCGGTTCCATAAAGTACTGGACAGCGCTGACCATCGGTAAAAGTGCTATACTCCATTCCCCTAGACAAAACAAGCCCTTGCAGTGGACGGGGAAGCCCCATTGCAAGGGTAGCTTTTTGGTTTGCAAGAAATGGGCTTTAAAAAACAACACAAATTGTGCTGTCTGTACTATGCGGACTTAAGAGTGGATGGTAAGCATACTTTCTGAAGCACCTTTGTGTCCAGAATGACACTATAATAGTTACAGAAGCGACACAAAAAACCCCCCAGTAGTGTACAGTAATGTGCATACCTGTGGAATGCAGAGAATAGACTACTAGGAGACAGCATAAGTGGTCCTCTAGGTAGGATAGTGCCTTTATCATTTACCCAGTGTAAATAGCCTCTAGTCATATCTGCCATGCCGATAGCACGGGCTGAGCAATACAGAAATTTGTACCCATTCCTGAAATAGGAGAAGAAAATCTTTGAACATACAAGAGCATGTAAACATTCAGTAGATGCAAACCAGTATTTGTATATCACTGGCCAATGCAAATGACAGCTGCTCTATGCTTTGCCTTACTACACACATTTCAAATACAATCATTGGGCTCATTCATATTTTATGCATTCAAAAATGTTCTTTAACAGAGACAAATATGTTACAACCTCTATTTAAATGTAATTTGCAATGATGTTACTTCACTTGTCATGAGGTTTGAAAATGACTGAAATTTGTAATAAATGCATGCAAATGATTGCATGCACTGTACATCTATCTTACTTCATATGCAGTGCGTATAAAATGCATTTTTTACATGTCCCTTTAGATCAGGGGTGCCCATTAGGTAGATCATGATCTACCAGTACCTCTCAAAGCTGATGCTGGTAGATCAAACGAGGAATGACAGACAGGGGAGAGCGAGGGAGGGAGGTTTTTTTCGTTGGTAGATCTCATGTAGCTCGTCATTTGAAAAGTAGATCTTAACACATAAATTGTTGGCACCCCTGCTTTAAATTGTAAGCCCTCACGGGCAGGGCTCTCCTTACCATCTTGTCTTGAATTGTATTGTAATGTCTTCCTTATATTGTGAAGCGCTGCGCAAACTGTTGGCGCTATATAATTCCTCTATAATAATAATAATGTATAATAACGTTTTAGCATGGCATCATCTACTGTAGAAGGTGAATCTAAAGATACAATGATCTGAATCAGGCAGACATGTAAACTAGATAAGACAAGGCGACGCCTTTCATGACTATATCATGCTATTATTAGCAGGAGCGCTGGCAACGTCCAAATAACTGCATGGTGCAGTACAGGATTCTCCTGAGTGATTAATAGAAAGCAAGGAGCATGTCTAGTGGTATGATCTCATATTGCTTGACAATCTGATCCATTATGATTCATCAAGTACGTGACTAATGTAAGTCAATAAAGAAAATGATATCACTCAGTACATGATCGTTTTCCAGCACACTAGTATATCTAAAAGACTTAAATGGCTCAGTCACTATGGGAGCCCTTAACTAGAAAAATAAAAAAAGTGTTCTTAACAGGCAGACACACAAACTGCATAGTTCTGTATTTCCTGAAGAACATACTCGTGTATAGAGTGGTATAGTTTGGCAATTCCTTCATGTGTCCAGTCTTTCCCAAGTTGAGGAAGAATTTGGCCCAAAGCATCTGACCTAAAAAGAAGAAAGTACACAAGTAAGCAATTGGTCTAATAATGCTCTTAAAGCTTATTACCTCTCTGTCAATTATGCATGTAGAGATAGGGAACATACTTTTCCTGTATTCTATCATTCATCAGTCAGCTGAAACCCTCCTGAAACCCTTTAACCACTTAAGTCCGGGGTGTTTACACCCCCTTCCCATCCAGGCCATTTTTCAGTATTCAGCGCTGCGTTACTTTGACTGACATTTATTCCGTCATGCAACGCTGTACTGAAATTAATTTTATACCCTTTTTTTGGGGACAGATAGAGCTTTCTTTTGGTGGTATTTAAATCACCACTGGGGTTATTTAATATATTAAAAGAAAAATTACAGAATTATTATTTAAAAACAGTTTCCCCCTATATTAAATTCTAAAACATTTATTATTACCCAATTTTTGGATACATTATAAAAGACTAGTGGAGATATTTAATTTGTTATTTGCAGTTAATCTTTCCCTTTGTTTCAAGAGATTATTACATTTATTTCAACACCTATTCACAATCTGACCGAGCGCAACTTACTTGCCACACATTATAAAAGACGGGGTCACGTCGGGTAAAAAGACACCAAACATGTCAAGCCTTAAAAGTGCGCGCGAAACCTCAAAAAACTACATTACCCAAAATTGGCCATAGGCCACGCTTTAAACGCTCACCAGTTTAGTGTTATCAGTGATTGATGGCCCTAAAATGATTGCTCACTCCGACGTTTGCGGCGATATGCAACATGTGTAGCGCAATTGTCGTTTTCGCTAGGGGGGGGCATCACTGGTGGGGAAGGGGCTGAAAAAATCACGCCATACAACCGATCGGCAGCTACAGAGCCGCTGATCGGCTATATGTGAAACAGCCATTAACGACTGTAAAAACGAGCGGGTCTTTCCTGCCCGGGTGCGCGCGGGCAGGAAAAAAATGCCGTCTGGGGACGGCAACCCGCTGATGCGAGTATGCCTTCTGTTTTTTCTTAACGGGCAGACGGCAGGGCAGATTCCCTGTCACAAAGTACTGTACATACAGGTGAAGAAGCACATAAGTCCTGCTGTCAGCATATTATAGGATTATTGTTGTTGAGGTCTGCTCTGGCACAGATTTAGTGAGCTGTTGTGTTAGCGATAGGTCCAAAAAGGTCTTTAATGTATCCAATAAGAAAGTAATTACCGGTAAATACTTTGTTTTCAGAGAGGACCATCAATTCTAAATACAAAAAAAGAAATATGCTTCCCAAAGGAAACTGCTATTTTTTTTTTTCAAAATGGTTCTGACATAGAAATAGGGAAAGAAATACTCATCTAAAACTAACTGCAGAGAGATTTACTCAAATGTAAAGAATGAACACAGAGGGACATACAACCGATTGCCATATCCCACTGGCCTAACCCACATGCTTTTATTTAAGAGTAAGTAGTGGAAAATGTTCTCACAGTGAATAAGTGGTGTGTGGGAAGGGATGACTGGACACCTCAGAAACCAAAAGCTGAGAAGGCCACGTTCACAGATTATACATACAATTCCCAAACTATATAAAAGCTCCTGAAGCATGGCCAACAGGAACATTAAAAGAAAGCTAAACTTACTTAGTGATTGTTCCATCAATGTCGGAAATAACGATCTTATCATTCCAGTTCCAGAGATAAATGGTGCCTTCACAACGGCACGTGCCCTGATACTGGGTTGTAATACTAAAGACAATGTCATTTGGACCATCTCGGAGCTTTAACTTTTCCTGTAAGAGAATGAACAGTAAGGTCATGAGTATTCTAAACATATTCAGTAATAAAGTATACAAAGCTTCTACTAACTGAGCAGTAGTTATATCCTAAAATGAGATTATGTACACAACAGCAGGAAAGATAAACAGAGGGAAATGGAGAATTTCTCTCCTAATGCTGGTAGCCAACAATAAGCCTCTGTATCGAAAAATTCCACAGCAACCAATCCGATTTTGCTTAAAACATATCTAGGCAAGCAATACAGTTAAAATACTTATATGGGAGCAGTTTTATCTGCCAAATGAATCTATTTCTGTTCAAGTTCTAGATATAGCAAAACAGAATAGCTTGTTTGGTGGCCTCACTTTTCTGTACTGCAGTTAAAGACAGTGGTGGAATTCAGGAGCCAAACTGTGCAGTCCAGGAGCCAGCAGGATTTATTTTAGGATCCAGCTCCATTGACAACAACTAAAAAAAAAACAACTCAAAAGTTAGGCACCTGCTGCCGTTTAAAGGCCCGTTCACACCAGATGCAGTGCGTTCTGGCCCGATTCTAGCCAGAACGCACTGCCTCGCATTGCGGCTGGCTCACTTTTGTGGGGCAGGAGGGCGCGTGACGGGCCAGTCAAGTGAATGGCACCGTAGGCACGCCTTCCGGCCGTAGGTGATCGGCCACACAGGATCACAAGGCACATTATGCCTGCAGTCTAGTCCCATCAAGATGCTGCAAGCACTATTTTGATCGCACCGCACTCGACTGGACCGCAGGCATAATGTGCCTTGTGATCCCTTGCGGCCAAAGGGCGTGCCTACGGTGCCATTCATTTCAATGGCCCGCCACACCCCATCCTGCTCCACAAGAAAGCGAGCCGGCCGCAATGTGAGGCAGTGCGTTCTGGTCAGAATCGGGCCGGAACGCACTGCATCTGGTGTGAACGGGCCCTTAAGGAGCGTTGGCTATCGGGCTCCTGGGATTTGTCCAACCCTGTGTTAAAAACAATACTCTCCTCTTTTCTTCTGTCAGCATGTTTAATACCCATACATGCAGCAGAGCTTGACTGGCTCCTAGTGATTCCCCAGCTTAAAATTATTACTGCACATGGGATTAAGGAGGGCTGATATCAAGACAGGCCCAAGTGTTTACACTTTAAAAATGTGACTTTTTAATGAACACAAGTGCAATAATTTTTTTTTTATCTGCCTGAAACACGCAGCAGCAGATATAGAATGTTGGAGCAATGTTAGCCATGATCAGAGCAAAGACCACATTACTGATCTCTCCCAAAATGTATTTCAATGGTTGTGCCAGGAGCATTGACACTCTGCGTACACTGGTATCAAAACTACAGAGTGGAAACTTGTCCCACGACAGTTCAAAGCAACCAATCAGATTATACTTCTGCAGTAGGGAATTATGAAAGAGAGAAGTTGATGAGAGAGAGAGAGAGAGAGAGAGAGAGAGAGAGAGAGAGAGAGACTGCAAAACAAATCCCAAAATGAATCAGATTTGAGTAGCCGCATGTCTCAATTCTGCAGTTGCAGGGGAAGAGGCGAGAACAAGTACAAAACATGGGTTTTTTTTTCCATCTAGGGGAGGGGGGGGGAGAGAGAAGAGGAATTTCCCTTGTGAAAGCATTTATCAGCACGTCTTCTAACACGCAAGGCAGAAACATGTCTTTCCCAGCTGACACAGGCACAGATATTGTTTAAGAAGCGGTCCTATAAGTGAGAGCACAGCTTCCCTTGAGAGTGTTGTACTATGATAAAGTCAAGTAATCTGTCAGAGGAATAGGAGACATGTTTTCTCAGTTATCCCCGAGGTAGGCCGAGCTTAGTCGTAAAAGAACACGCTGTAGTATAAAAGCAATAAAGAATGGTTTGAAACAGACACTGCAAAGACCCCTTTACCAATATGGGCATATGAATCCATTCTCAAAATCCTACACATACTTATGCTCAGTGGCCCATGTTTACATACAGTATCTCTGGACCAGCATGGGAGAAGAATGTTCTACTAGATGAAGATTTCTAACAAAGCCCACACTTTTGGGACCCTCACTAGGAGCACTTCAAGAAACATGTGTATATGAGGACAGTTGATAAACTTGATGACAAGCTGTATGGGATAAGTATCAAACAAGTCACATTTTATGTCTAAGGTCTATTTCTTACTAATCACTGTATAAAATTAAACTCACGGTCTACTGAGATTTTCACCCCTAGATGATGCAGGTAACAAGGGGACCTCCACTTAGACTTAACCAGCAGTTGCTCCTTGTAAGGTGGTCAGGGTTTGAGACACTCTTAAAAAGCATGAGTGAATTTAAATGTTGGGTTTTTTTTAACTACAAAAAGCATCCTAAAGCTGGCCATATACTAGTAGATTTTTTAGTTCAGTGTCCGGGCTGAGCCTGCAGTCACTGTCCAGGTAATCCTTTTTAACCCCACTCCTTCAGAAGTAGTGTCAGGCAAGAGGCTGCCGACAAAGGCCACCCAAAGAGCGAATTTCACTCAGTGTATGACAAGCTTTAGACTATAAGCCTGTGTGGGCAAGGTTTTTCTCTCCATTTGTACCTGGCTACTATTATAGGATTTGTGATATACAACTCCAGTATGCAGTACTGGAAGCATTTGATGTATCAATATTATCTGTATCACCCCACACTTGTTTGTATCCGTTTCTTTGCAGAACACCAGGGGCTGATGAATAAATGTTCAGGCCAACATATAGCCGGGTGAATGGCGTTCACACATCATTCCTGCCACTAGATGGAGCCAAGGTGCACAGAATTTTCCTATGCTCTTTAGCTCCATCTAGTGTCGGGAATCTGTGTGACTGGCATTCTCACACCTATACGCTGGGAGGAACGCATATACATCAGCCCACAAGTGTTATGATGCTGCTACATAAATCAGTAAGTATAATAGTCTCCAACTATAACTAGTAGATTTCCTCATTGATTCAGGGTATTTGTCTGCCTGTCAATGTAATTATTAAGGTGTTTTTTTTATGTTATTTTTTTTTTTTTTTTTTTAAAAAAATTCTCACACCTATACGCTGGGAGGCAGCAGTTCCCTATTGAACAAGCAGCAGAAAAGCTACATTTGAACCAGCTGTAAAACTGCTGATGCTGCCTCCCACATCTCCTTTCTGTTATTCAGAGAATACTGTATACTGTAATAGCCAGCCTCTCTCCTCCTCTGCTGGAGCGATAGAATGTCCCCTCAGCATCCTATACACTATATATAGAAAGTGATGACTCACAAACTTTAGACCATGGCAACGGAGAGAGGATCCAGTGACCGGTCTAAGAGCAAGTCAGGTCGAAGGATCGGGTGAGTAAAACTTTGTTATGTTTGACCCTAGGCAAGAATGAGCACTTAACCCTTGGCACTGCAGGGGTAGCCCCACTAGTTAATACAATTTTTACGTGGAGTTCTTCTCTAAAAGATACACGCCTACGTATCTATATGCACTTCTGGACTGTGATAAAGAGTTACCAGACAGCCTAAAATAAAACTTGATGTAATCTCCAATAAATATTTTTGTCGGTAGTGCTGTGACTCACTGAGCTTTGTAGATATACAAGGACACGACCTCCCGTCTATTCTATTTTCCCCTTACAACCCACACAACTTTTGTTCCTTCCATTGTGCACACACACACCTGGGTAATGTGGAAGTTCAACAGCTGTTTATGGTTTTACAAGACAGCCACATATACCGCTGTACACTATCCTTAACCGATGAGTACATCATTGTACATTTATACAGACCCTGAACAGCTGCAAGGGTTATCAGACATTCCTCTGTCATCTCATTACCACTAATGTTCTACCCAGCAGACACTTACTCACTCAAACCACTGTTACACATATTCCCAGTGGTTACAGGTTATATGCCCAAGCATTGCCCTTAGCCTAGAAAAGATTTCAAGCGTAACTTCTAGTTCAGCAATGAATTGGTTAGTGGCATAGATCAGTGTATTTTTGTAGTTGCCATGCTACTGTAGAACTATGGGCATAAGCAAAAAGGACTTGTATGATGTAGTCTGTCAGTAGGATAACAAAGCAGTTTATGCTTTGCTGCGTCCCTCCATGTAACATAGTTCTATTACCTGCCATATATATCCTTTATTTCCACTTCTTGTAACAAGGTTACACCATTCTTCCTTCTGCAGTGAAATCACTATACTGTTGTTACCCAGTGGATGGGGAAGTTCTTGATGGACATGTGGTTTTAAGTTGGCCATACACTAAGGCAGTGGTGGCGAAGCTTGGCACTCCAGCCGTGCCAAAACTGCATATCCCAGCATGCATCTGCCTCTGGGAGTTATGTCTGTGGCTGTCAGAGCCTTGCAATGCCTCATGGGACTTGCAGTTCCAAAACAGCTGGAGTGCCAAGGTTCGCCACCACTGCACTAAGGCCTCATTTAAATGGGGCAATCTCACATTCCTGCGGCAGGAACCTACGGATTTTGGGAACAGGAATGTCAGTTCAGATGTGGCCGCTGTACCAGTTCAAGTAAATGACCGGGTGATAACAACTGCATCTGTAACCGCTGCCCGCATGTAATCACATATATGATACGATTACATATGGTTTGGAATCTATCCCGTGTCCTGCGACAGTGATCTATTTCAATAAAGGGTATGTCCCATCGCACTCCTGACCGGAATAAAGACCCAAAGTAGGGAGTGTGCTGCAGTGACGGCAGATGGCTCTGCAAAATCATGTGGAAAGTCACTCGCACTTCAGATAAATATCAAGTCAATCTCTTTATTGACTGTAGCAGTGTCACATTTCAAAGCGACGTTTCGGAACCTAGTGGTTCCTTTTTCAGGCAAACAGAAAATGACAATTATATTCTGTTTGCCTGAAGGGACCCCTAGGTTCCAAAATGTTGCTTTGAAATGTGACACTGCTACAGTCAATAAAGAGATTGACTTGATATTTATCTGAAGTGTGAGTGACTTTCCGAACGATTTTTGAGTGATTGTTTCAAACCGCATGTAATCATATCATACGGATTACATGTGAACTGCTGTTTACAGATGCAGCCGCTGTCACCCAGTCATTTACTTGAATGGGTTCAGCGGCCGCATCTGAACGGGCACACCTGGCATTCCTGCCACAGGAATAGATCATACCGTGTGAATGAGAAATGGAAAAAACATTCCTCCACTTACACTGAACAGCACGGATAGACGAATCTCCTGTCTGCTATTTGTGCTCTGACAGTTGGCATTTGCTGCTGTCAGACTAAACAAACAGCTGATTGGCTGCAGTCACTATTTAGCTGAACATTTTCGGCTGGGCTTCTTTTACAAAAGTTGATTTGAGTAATTGACTTCTGTTGAGCTGGCAGGGTCAAACACTGCAGAAATTTTGCCCAATTCCTGTAAGGGTGAGTCAGAATTCTAACAGTGTATGGTCAGCCTAAGTCCAGCCAAAATGGCACAATACACATTACTGTTTACTCTTTTGTCTGCCAAACGATTTGTAATTCTGTATAGCCTAGTCTGGCCTACTCCTGTGAATTACACATATTTTCTACACTGCACAGCAGCTCACCTTCCTATGTTACATCTAAAAAAAAAAAAAAGAAGATCCCTGGGCAGTTAAAAAAATGTACCCTTGTAGTGGAGCTAGTGGAGTGCAGTGGATGACATCACTCCTGCTCTTAAAAAAAATAATAGCTGAAAGTACATTTCCATATGCATTGGCTGAAACGCAGATCTAGATCTCATGCTGTCTGACCTCTTTACACAGGCAATTCCCTTTTCATGTTGCACAGCATCTGTAGGCCATACAGTTACTAAAATGGTGAATTCATTTATGTAGGTTTTAAACTTAACCTGTCATTTTTATTTTAAGCCTGAAGGCACTATAGCTAAAGCACATGTTTAAGATAAAAGATCAAATCATCCAAATATTAAATTTTCTTTTAGATAACAAAAATGTAAACCATAAGAATGAAAGTTGGCAATTGAATGCACCCCTTTCATTATAATAGTTTATCCCAACCATCACTTTTACAGCCTCACCTGTATGTAAAAGGCCTAAAAAATATGAATTAAAAAAAAAAAAAAAAAAAGGCATTTGAGATCCCAAAAAAATTCTATACTGAATACGATCATTGCAGATACTGAACCCGTACACTTATCACTAGGGATGCACCGATACTGTTTTTTTTTTATCGAGTACCAATATAGGTACCTACGCTAGCATGAAGTCGGCTTCCCAGACAATCAGGAAGCTGGGTGGTGTGTCATTACACGCCACCTGGCTTCTTGATTGCCCTAGAAGGCAGTTCCATGCTTTTTGGCCGGCTCCATGCTGATTGGCCGGGAAGCCAATCAGCATCGAGCCGGCTTTCCTGCAAATCAGAATTGAGCAGGCCAAACAGCATTGAGTCGGCTTCCTGGCCAACCAGGGAGCCGGGCGTGGAGCCATTACCTGCCGCCCAGCTTCCTGATTGGCAGGGAAGCCGGCTCCATATTCCCTCGTGGCACTGCTGGTCAGAGGAAAGCTCCCTCAGATCGCATGTTTTGGTATCGGAGCATTTGGGCGAGTACGGGTACTCGCCCAAATACTTAGCATCAGCACAGCTCTTAAGTGAATCTAAAAATGCCCAGAGGAAGTTACTATAATAAAAATGGGGGGACAAGCAGTTTGAAAAACAGGCTGTTATGGGCCTTTGGAGCTATATTGCAGAGAAATCAAAGGGTCACCCCAACCTAAACTGATATTTCAGTTGTGGGTGTACACTGGTTTGGAGAATTATCCACTGGTGTCTTACCACAGCTTTTGGGGTATTCAGTGGTGAATCTTTACTTGTGACTTTGGAGTCTCACTCTTCCTGTTTGGCCCTCAAGTTCTAATGTATTCTACATAATAAATGGGTGCAACATACAAAAGTGAGAGGGAGACCCACATAATACGTATTAGGGCTGACCAGGAGAATGAAATGTAGACATCTATTTTCTCCATATTAGCATGATTATCACCTAAAATGTAAACGGAGGGATGGCTGGAAGGTTTGTTCTGTTATATGTGCCCAGTACTGACTTCTCACATTCTATGTTATATGGAAAGAGACTTATGCTTTTGGGTGGTTGAACATCAAGAAACATTTAAAGAATTTAAAGAAACATTTAAAGAATTTCAAGCTTGCATTAAATAAATAACCCGCCACTGTCATTTCTTTTCCTTAGTATCTTTGGAGGTGCAGGGAGTTTTTATGCAACTGTCACTCATTTAGGTGGAGTTTAGTGGGCTCAGTTATCCGATTGCTTTTATATTTATTTAGGGTTCCAGCTGCAAGACTTCCTTGCCATAGTTATTGGCTCAATCAGTGCCTTTCTTGCAGCTTTGGGATTTCCTACTTATCCTTTGCTGACCCACTCCTCCTGCTAATTTGCCATAATGTAATCAAGTTCAAAATTCAAGGAGGGTAGTAACACCCCCTCGTGGTCACCATGGCCTGGAAACTCAAGGGCCAAAAGTTTTCCACCATTGCCCCTTTGAGATTTAAGAGTTAGGTACAACCTCTAGTGTCTACCCAAAACAAACTAATACCCTGCTGTTTAAAAAGTGTAAGCATTAGTTGGGTTTTACTTTGTTAATAAAGTCCTTCTCAAACTACATATAGAATAACTTTGGGAGGGGTCTCTTGCTATCTTTAATGATAGACCCAACTTGATTACCAGGTAGTTTATTAGCTTACGGTTAGGCAGCTCAAAGTCGCCTAGTCTCTAATAGGGGCCACTGGGAGCAAGAAAACAGAAGAAGATCTCCAGACCAAAACAGATGTTAGAGTCCTGCCGACAGACACTAGGAAGGGGGAAAGGAGAGGAGAGACACCGACCGACGCTGGGGTCACTTAAAAAGTTCCTCGGCCAAAAAGGGTCACGTAAACTTTTTCCTCAGCCAAAAAGGGGTCATGAGTGGAAAAAGTTTAAGGAAGGCCTGTACTAGTAGAATCAACAGGTAATAGAACCAAGTTACATGGAGATACACAGCAAAGCAAAAATGTGTGTGTTGATGCTACTGAGACTGCATCGTTTATACAAGTATGTCATTTTTGCTTTTGCCCTAAGTTGTACTCTAACATGTCAGCTCCACAAATACACTGGTCACCGAAACTAAGCAATTCATTGCTGACAAAAAAAAAGTTACCAGCAGAAAAAAAACATTTAATAACGGCAAATCTGCTTAGTTGAAAGCAGTAACTACAGCTAGGAAATGGAAAATACAAAGTCATAGATAGTTGCACTAGGGCAGGAAATAAGACAAAGGAAAAGGTCATCAGTGGGTTATTAAACCCTTTGTGACTGCAACATGTCTTTATAGTCCTATGTAAATATAAAATGAACTTGGAATGTGCAACCGTGTGTGTTGCTAGTTCTCAGACCCACTGTTAGACAAATTAACCTACGCATACTGCCACTGCTAACCTTGGTCTGGGTCTTGGCCTGTTTAGTAAACAAACGCCGGTCATGAAAGGAGTTAGCACATGACATTCATGGAAAGGCATTCAAAATATAATCTTTTCTACAAAGCTGTAAAGAAGGGATACATACAATTTGCTCTGAGGATAAGCGCAGGGTCTTGCGATAAGATGTAATACTTCCATGACTTGATTGCTGCACCGGAGCAGGCTCAATTGTTAATTGCTTCAGCTCCATGGAATCTTCATCAGTTGAAGAATTGTCCTCAGCAGATGGTCTATGAAAATGCACAATATACATTCACAATACATCCATACTATTGACAGTGAACAAGTCAAGCTCAAGCTTTAAATCAATTACCCTAAGTAGGACTGGTGACCTGCTATATATGCGCTTCAACTATTTCATGCAACACTGAGTATAACTCATGTGCGAGCATACATCTATTCCCATGTGCATAATTAGACATACTTAAATGTCTTGAAGAAATAAGTTATAGCTAGTGTAGATAGAATTATTAAGATAAAGACAAAAGACAGGCTTAAAAAACTTGGAGTGGAAGTGGAGCCACATCAATCACCAGGATATTATTTATTTTATTTGTGTGCACCAGTGCTGAAATTATTAGCACTGATTCCTTGCAGCACAGGAGTCCCGGGTCTTACCAAAACATTGAGAGAACAGGGACAGGTCTGTGGATTGTGTAAACAATATTCACTTGCATAAACCCGATTCCTTGGCTACAAGTCAATTTCCAGGAGTTGAGACTAACCTCTGCTTAGTAGTAGGTGTCAGTCCTATATAAGCCTATTGGAAGAGAAGAAGCTTGCTGCAGATGACATAATTTAATTGCACTGTAGATCAAGGGACCAGCACCACATAAGTGACTATTTACACGATCCACTCACCTTCTTCTGAGGCACCACTTTATTCTATATATTCGAGGTCTTCCCTAAAAGCCTCTTCTGTGTGCCTCTTTTAACCCCATTTCTGAGGCTCACCTACCTTAACTACACTAAGCCTTGTCCCCGGGAGATGAGCTTTACTTGTCAACTGTGCCCCTGTCCAATGAGGGCATCATTATTGGCCACCGGGGTGTTCTCATTGGGCAAGAGTTGGTTGTAGCCAGTGGCGGAACTACCGCCGGTGCACCAGGGCCTGAGGCTGTGGGGGGGCCGGTTTTGGAACACCAGGACCGTGCACTGCCCCATATTGCAGGACCGGATAGCGCTCATCTCCAGGGGGCGAGGTGTAGCCCTAAAACCAGGAAAGTCAAGCTCATACGATCACCAATTATTGTCATCGAAAGATGATGCATTTGATCTTGGTTTCAAGATAACATCTTAATAAAATTGATTTGTAAATACAGATAACGGGGGGATGCATTAGAATTGGTTTTTTTTCTGGTCAACATAGGTAAAATCAAGCGGCTTGTGGTACATGGTCCTAGACAGAACTTTCACTTTTAAAAATCAATGGTTCTCAAGAGGATTACATGGGTTTCCTCTAGCCAGCTATAAATGTATTAAATGTGCTTCTAGAAATGTAAACGCATGCATGTATTACATTTCATGCTCTAACAATATCTTTTCTTGTTCAGGTGTCTTCTGATTTTGTAATTTTGATATTTTAATACAAAAAAAGAGCATGAATAAAAACCTTACTTTCCCAATAATTTGAAGCACTGGCTCTCTTTTGGAGATTGCAAACTCTATAACCCTGAGGGACAAAATGTGTATATGAAAATACAAGGAGTAACTTAATCTGTATGCAGCTCTCTAACTCCGAGTCTTCTACAATAACTAGCTGCTGTGCTCCATAAAATGTATTGTGTATTCCTGATTTACGATACAGAGGTGAACACCTCAGACCATCTCCGTATTGCAGTCAAACATGTCTGCTTAATTTATGGGTACTTGTTAAAATCTGACAGCAATGCCAGAATGGGCCCAGAACGCTACATTTGAAATATCTTCCATTTCAGTGTTTATTTCTTTTAGAACTATGTGACACAGATGTTACTGCGATCTGGATGTCACAAGAGTCGCAAATAGCATAGATTATGTAAGCAAACACAAAAGTTCAATGTAGCAGCAGAAACTAAACAGAACATTCTGGATCACCACAGGCTGTTCCTGAGAAGCTGGGAGGTCAAAGCAGTTAGCAGCTACAAATTACACTGCTGCAGAGTTCGCTCTTTATTAATGGCTACATTTTAGTAAAGTATTGAGAAGGAAGCAATGGTGATCTAAGCTTTAAGAACAAGTTGGAAGAAAAAGCTGAAGCGGCATTCTTCCTTTGGTTAAAGGGGATCTCTCACAAAGCAAAACCCCACAGCTGACTCCAGTGTTGCATACAGGTCACAGGGCAGCAATATCAAGATTTGTGGAGAACTGATTAAGCTTGGCTTGACGGTTCTGGGTCTGCTTTATAACAGACTCACTTAAAACTACTGAACTACTTAAGATTTTGTTTCATGTGCTAGGTAACATGGTTGAAAGAATGTTCTCCTACAGCTGCCCACAGAAAGTGCTTTTATGGGGGCTTTATCAATATAGAACATCATTTAAGATCCCTCCCTAGAAAACAAAGGAAAATGTCAGATCTCTGAAGACTTGAAAAACGACCTGGGGCCATGCATGGGGTCAGAGGAATAAACAAACCTTTTAGCAGAAGGTAGAAATTCCAGCTAATACATGAGCCAAGTGGCTCTTTATAGTGAAAAGACTGCCTCTGTCCTCTTCTCTATGGTGCTATACAAGCATCTCTCTCTATGCTGTCAATACAGATTTGCAGAACCTCAGGAAATATAAAAATGGATGAGGCTTTATAGATATATGGACACGTGTGGGCAGATCTGGGCTGGTCTAAACACTGTCCCTTGTTGGGAGACGCATTATTTGATCCACAATAATGAAAATTGTTGTCAACATGATTCCCTTCTAATTCGCATTTTTCAGTAAAAGTCATGTATGGCTACAAGCCGACATGGGAGCATACACTGACCCTATATGGCACTTAAAAAAACAAATGCCAAGCGTAACACAAAACAGTTGTAAACAGCAAGTGCTAACATTGGGTCACTGTTTAATTCTTGTAACAAGTGCCTTGTCTCAGGTGCATGGAAGGCCTCCAGGCATGAGTCTGAATGAGAGCCAATGGAAAGTAAAAGCCAATTAAAGGCTCTTATGTGACACTGTTCGCTTAATCACTCCAAACAGGGCAATGAGGAAAAGCAGCTTCCTGGCTCTGTTTGCTTTTTCTGTCATAACTAAATATCTATTGAATAAGTCATGATGACTTGGCTATAAAAAAAAACCCACACTAATTTTACAGATTTATTACTGTGCTGGAAAGATCAGTTGATGGAAATGACCAAGGTTAAAATGAATGCCATCATTATAAAAAGTTGGAGACAGTAAGCCCCATGTAAAAATATGAAATACGATTAATAATATATTGAGCTCTACTGCTCCCTAAAAACAAGATTAACATGTTCATTCTCTATCATTCATTCGCAGCTGCAAAGCAAGATAGTTCTTAAAAAAAAACAAAAAATCCCTTTGTGCCCGTTTTGATAAAAGCTGTTAGGGGTTTAGTACAACGAACAGGTAAAGAAAGAATGTGTGGCCAGAGTCAACTTAAACAAGTAACAGATGATGAAAATGAGATTGGTTTACTCACATGATTTAATTAACACCTGTCAAATAGCATATTTTAAGAACAGCTCTGTAATAAGGGAAACAAGGTTGCTTAGAACAGGCCCCATCTTTCAAATAGCATCTTACCTTACTTTGTGTTGCCATTTTAAAGGAATTCAAAGTTTAAATGGAAATAATTTTTTTTAAATATTCAATTTTTATTGATATTTGCAAAAGATTCAAAATGGAAAGAATTTTGATTGTGATTTGTAGTAGCAAAAAGGCATCTTACTTCTAAACTAAGACACTAGTCTAGTTATTGTTCTTTACGGTGCTCAGTGAAGTCAACTGATCAGCCCAACAGCTCTCATGGTACCCCAATCTATCATACTGTTGTGCCAGTATACAATAATTCATATTACCTTACATTATTTAAAAAGGTAAATGTCCTTTAAGCCAAATGAGGAAGACTGAAATCACTTTATGTAATCACTGTAATTAAAGTGACATTAAAAGGATACATTTTTTTCCCTCCCTTCCATGTTAATGTGAGCACTTACCTTAAATGATGTCTCTTAATCCGATCTTCTTCTTCTTTCCCCATGTTTTCATCTGTCCCTCCAGCGGTGCGGCGACTCTACGATCCAGCGCTGACTCCTCTCTGCTTGCTGGCACTTCTGATCCAGCGGTGTTTGCATGTGGGTGCACGCGTCCATAGACTTACCTTGCGTCTCTGCTAGTCTCCCGGCCGAGAATCCGAACTGCGCATGTGCCCGCCCCAAGATCCTTTGCGGCAGCACGAGCAGTTCCGGATTCTCGTCTCGTGAGCGCGCAGCGATAACAAGGTAAGTTTAAACCGCAGTTAAAGTGTTTTTAAAAAAAAAACGTTTTGCCTATATCTACTGCTTGCTAGCAGTAGATATAGTAAAAAAAACTGGAGGCTTTAGAACCCCTTTAAGTAGGAATATTTTTGCCAGGCACATGTTTGATTAATGTTACTGATTTAATTGCATGGTCTTAAATATACCGCAAGGACATAAACACAGACGCCAACAAAACATGTGCATAAAAAGATTATGGAAGGAAGAAGTATTTAGTATGAACTAAAATATGCATTTCACAACACAGTCAGTGTATTTCTTATTATTACACCTAACAAGTAGAAGTTACCGGAGAGCAGTTGTCTCCTTGATGTCTGGCACTTGCTCACTGGTACCTTCTGTGTCCAGTTTCTCCTCCTTTGTGTCTGTCTGTAAAAAAAAAAAAAAAAAAAAAAAAAAAACA